CTTTCTCACAAATCCGTTCAATTCTCTTTACTTAGTTTCCTAAGAAACTCACAAATACTCAAGCCAAGTGTTGTTCTCCTCTCTGTGTACCTATGTGGCTCTCAGTGCTGTGACAGATGTGTACGTCAATGTATACATACACAGTGCATCTGTGTACATGCAACGTATGCATTTCCTGGCAGTTCCTGATGCACATATGTCACAAATGAAGAAAAGCAAAATACAACTCAATACCTACCACTCTGTCACAAAATTTTTTTAATTTTTTGAGAACTTCATACACGGGCATTATATTTACATTATTTCTATCCCTCTCTTTCCCTCTCCTATTTCTCCTGTATCCCCATACTCCCTCTCACATTTTTGATCTCATCTTTGGTTATTATAGCTATATATACATATATACATATATACATATATACATATATACATATATACATATATACATGCATACAACCTACTAAGCCCATTTAATATTGATCATGTGTAGATGTAGATGTGGATTTTTTAGGGTGATCATTTAGAACCAGACAACCTATCAGCACTCTTGTCCCTGAAGAAAACAGCTTCTCCTTCTCCCAGCAGCCTTACTGCTTATAAATCTTCACTGAGGGGTGTGACCTGGTGAAACATCCTTTATCTTTTCAGCATGTCAGTTTTCTCTGAGCCTTAGGTGTAATTGTGGAAGAGGGGATGGAAAAATTGTAAGAATCAAAGGATCAGCTCCTAGATAGTGTTGTCTAGACATGATAGGGAAGCTGCACTCATGAAATTTCAACTTAGGGTTGTCGCCTGAAATCTGGTGCCAGAGGGCCTGGATAGAGAGCTAGCCTAAGATGATCACCAGTCAGCCACTAGGCAGGTGGGGACAGGCTCCCAGGATTGGGAGCAAGCTGGAGATGAGAAGAACCCCACCCACAACTGCGAGCCCCAAGAGGGAGTGAGCATGAGACAGAAAACCCTCAAAAGGGGCCACTAGAGTGTGTGAGATGAGGAGTGAGCCCAAGATGACAATCATACTGGCACCATGACTGGGACAGGGAATGAGGTTGAGTTGACCATGGAAACCTGGGGGGCAGAGAGTGGCAGACCATGTAGGAGATGACCCTGCCTGGTGCCACAATACACAAGGCATAACATTTTTGAGACCACTCCTGAGATGAGTCCAGACAGTCAGAGAGGTTATGGGTTGCCACAAAGAGGAGCAAGTAAGTAGTGGAGAAATGGAAGAGAAAGAAACAAAAGGATGCATGCAATGAAGAGAGGCAGAACTGGAGACTTGACGGTAGTGAGGAACAGCCTGATGTGACTAGCCAGTGATGCCACTTGGGACCATGGTGGGGCTCTGGCCTGTGCTGCCACAGGTAACCACATCTGGGTTCATGGCCCTGCAGCAGCAGGGGTCTGCTGTCATCAAAGATCAGGCAGACATTCCTGGAATATTTTGATGTCTGAGGGCTGTGCAGAAGCAGACCTACTCCTCACCTGGGCATCATGGGAGAACTGGCCCTGGAGACACGAAAGTACGAGAGATGAGCACACCCCTAGCCAGCTGCAGTATTTGGGAGAGCAGAACCTGCACGTTACAGGAGACGCAAATGAGTCCACCGGAGAATACGAGCCTGGGAGAGCTGGTCCTACTGTTAAACTCTCATGCAGTGGCGTAGATGAGGAAGCAATATTCTCCTTTTCCCTCCTGTCTCACTACCTGTGACAGGCAGGCACTGGGGTCATGAGAGCAGAAGAGCTGGCCCTGCGCCTCACCTGTGCAGCACAGTAGAGCTGACCCTGATGTTAGGGGTAGGGATGAGCTGGCCCTGAGGGTATGACCATGAGAGAGGGGGGTCCTATAACTTGCCTGCCATGCAGCAGTTGCAGCAGTGTGGGCAAGGGGTGGGGTAACCCTGCCCCACCCTGAACCCTTGCTGCCTATGGCAGGAGAGAGAGCTGGCTCTGTCCCTCACCTGCAGCAGCACTTAGGAGAATAGGCCCTGCACCTCCTATGGCAGTAAGGTAGCGCAGTGGGCAGTAAGGTAGAGCTGGACCTGGTTGTAGCTGCTGTTAGTGAACTGGCCCAGTGGGGTATAAGAGCTGGCAGGCTGACCAGCTCGGATAACTCACAGACCAGATCCAGGGCTTTGAATGGACCCACCCCAACATCTACCCCATGGATGAACTGCTGGAGTGCATGACGGGGCTGTTCCTACAGATCCAAAACTACAGGGTCTCCATGACACAGGGCAACGCTAGGATATCCAAAAGGAGTCCCAGTAAGGTTCTAGTACTGATAGAGTAGCAGAAGCCAGAGGCCTCATACCAGACCAATAAATCACTGCAATAAATATTTGCAATCAAAGAAGTGTAGGCAAAAGCGTGTACACTATGGGGACACACTGTGACACGCTCCAGCCTCCACAACAAGATTTTTTTCTTTGTTGTGGGGGAGGCTGCAAGGGTAGAGGGTGAGTACAAGAGAAGGGGGAGATGAGTGGGATTGGGTTGCATGATGTGAAATTCACAAAGACCCAATCAAAAACAATAGCTGGAAGAAACTCTTCCCCACCCCCCAGAATGCCTCCCAGCCTTTGCTTTGTATAATGTGAAATCTTCCATTAAAAAAAAAAATCTACAAACCCACAACTTCCTGTTCGAGTCTGGTGCCTGTCAATCCACAAAAAGCATGCAGAAGAACCACACTGTCAAAACAGGCATCAAAAGGTGGAAAGGAACACATGACATATTCCTTCGATGGGAAATCAAGAATTAATTTTATCCTGCAAATGACTGTGTGACCTTAAACCTTCCCAACATGAGTACTTCACTGATGGCTTTCAGACCATACTTTTCAATTATATTGAAATTGCATACTTTTCTAAAGTCATTCCTCTTTTCTTCTTTGTTGATTTTGATAGTAATTACATAATTTCATATTTATATTTGGTTATGTTTTCTTTCCAGCCAGTTGGGAAAAATCCGTACTTTTTAGCTATTCCCTTTCAAATCTCTGAAACTGGGTATTTGATTGAACTGTATTTAGACTGCCTTATAAATCTCACTAAGTGACAAAACATTTTGATTGGAACTAGTGATAATTCAAGTCAAATACTTTAAATACTAAGGAGTGATTTCAAAGCACCTGAGCTTAGAGGCTGAGTTGCCTGATTACACATATTTTAAGCTCTTAGGCTCCATACATAAATGCTCATCTGCAGGTCTCTTCACTCTGATTCGCAGCAGAAACAACCCAGGCAAACATCACTGCTATGCAACTAATAGGTCTCAGCCATTGAACTAACTTAGGTGAAGGGGGAAATTTTACCCATGACAGCATTTAGCTGAAAACCCTATTGTGTTTTAATGTGAACTGTTTGTATATGTTCTTCATCAGTTATTTTTCTGAATTATGAAAGTGAATTATGAAAAAAATGACTAAGTCTCATCATCTCTGTAATTTAATAGGGAATGCAAAAGCCTATAAGATATACAGATGTGAGTGAGGGGATGAGTATAGGAAAACCACATGGCAGAGGATTTGAACCAACAGTGACATGTCATCCAATACCTAACAAGGCACAGACAGCAAAATCTATGTATTTACACCTCTCAAAAATCAAACAACTGAATGACTTAAGAAGGTTCAGGAATGAAAACAACACAAGAAGGGCTTCAGGACCACGAGGAAGCTGGAAGCCGGAATGAAGAACTGCACGGGTAAGAACAGGCGCTTGGAAAATTCATAGATGATAAAGTATAACCTGGGCAGCATGAGGATGCAAGAACAGGCTGCACCTGTGAGGGCAAACCTGTGCTCCAGGGCTGTGCTCAAGCAGGGCTTAGGCTATTGTTTTCCAGCATACTCGTATTTCACAGGATGACAGATGGCCATGCATGACTGCTTAGCCATGGTCAAGTTTTTTGTTGTATCATGATAATAATAAAACACTAATAAATCGGGCTTTTGTGCTAGCCTGTATCATAAGACTCGGGGCGTCAGGTCTCTTCCTGGGAAAACTTTACTCAGTGGATAAAGTACTTTCAAACGTGTCATTGTTCCCTTTCTCTTCCGTTGGAAGTCAGTCTGATAATTGAAAATAAAGCAATCAGTTTTAGAAGACAGGAAGAGCTTAAGATTAAGACAAACCCACATGTTACAGAAACCAGACAGAAGGATAGTTTCATAACATTGCTAAAATCCAACTTAATTAAGCCTGTTACTAAACACTTTTAGATTCATGTGAATTTTTTTGATATGTACTTTCAAATGCATTGTCACCAACACACTGATTAAATGTGTATAGTATAATTATAAAATTCTTTCTTATTGCTGGCTCTTTAAGTTGCTCCCCCTCCCCCCACAACACATAGATAAGCAAGCATGATACAATACATTGAATGTCTCTGGGCATAAAACTTTACCTGGATTTAGAATAAAGTTTCTGTGGACTTGTTCATAGTTGTAAAATTATTGTCGGATGATACAGTCCTTGTTAATCTGTTAAATAAGTAGCATCAAATTGATTTCAACTACCTGTGTCTTTATTAAGATCTACACTGCCATGCCTGTGGACTCTTTTGCTATGCCTTCTAGGACTGAATATTTCCCTTGCAATCATGTTGGCAGAACCTTAATTTAAGTTCTGATTAGCTTAAATGAACCAAGAATGCCAGGGTTATTTCCCTTGATTCTTCTGTTTATAGAAGATAAACTTTAGAAGTGCCTAGAAAATACAATAGAAACTTTGCTCATGTCAGCCATTTTTGGAAAGTATTCCCAGGAGCAGTGCAAGGAGGAGCACACTCAAACCAATTCCAAATGTGGATAACACACTGCTCTGAAGTTGTCTCCCTTTAAAAGAACTGGAGTGAAAAGTCACTTGAAAATCATTTTACAATATTATAGCAATCCTTAATTGGGAATATGAAATGAGTAAAATCATGTTGAAATCAAAATAGTTTTCAAGTAGACGGCAAAAATAAATGAACATAAAGAATGTACTTACAAGTCAAACACCAAGTAATGGAAGCCCTCTTCTGATATACTGTCATGAAGTCTCACTGGAGGAAAGAAAAGAGAAGAAAGTTTGCATTGTTTTATTAAATCACCCGTAGAAAATCAGTTCTAGGATAGACACTGCTTCTTATGTCAAGCCTGTGACGTATCAGTATCATTTACAGAAAGGCATGGGTGGAGGAAACAACCCAAGATCTGGTCTCTGGTTCTGATAATTACTAACTATCTGAACTTAAAAAATATTTAAGTTGTAATGACATTAGTACAGGTATTAAAATGCTGGAAAATAGAAGAAGACGTTTCTACATATTCCCTGTTGACCAGTGGTTCACAACCTTCCCAGTGCTGCCACCCTTTAATACAGCTCCTCACGTTATGGTTACTATGTTATTTTTGTTGCTAATTCATAATTGTAATTTTGCTACTCTTAAGAAACGTAATGTAAATACCTGTGTTTTCCAGTGGTCTTAGGCAACTCCTGTGAAAGAGTCATATTGCCCCTAAAGAGGTCACAACCCACAGGTTGAGAACTGCTGCTCCTGATGTTGCCCTAATCCTCCTCTTCATCCACCTGCACTCTGATCCTCACAGCGGGGACAGCAAGCTAAGCATGAGTCAGGAAAAAGGTCTCTCTGCCCCCTCTCTTCCATTTGTCCTTGAGTTCCAACATGGCACTGTCGAGCCAGCCTGCCTTCTTTACTTAAGTCACCAAAAGTAGCTAAAAAGTGTCTTCTAGAATTTACTGGTAAAATAATAACTCAGTTCCTTCGACCTATGCCAATTTCCCAATGGAATAGTCTTGTGACACTAGCAGAAACTCATATATAAATCCTATGAATTTAAAACACTATATGCACCAGGCCATACATGTAAACTTACTGTTTTACCTATCTACTGTTTAGTTTTTCAAGGTTGTCTCTCTTTTAACCACTCTCTTGCTGGTGATAATTCCTCCTGTTTAACTTTTATCAAGGGCAAGAGGTGACAGAAAACAACCAGCTTGAAGGATACCCTGCTTTTACAAAAGTCATGAGAGAAGATAAGGTTCTACTGTAGCATGCGGGTTGATTTTTGTCAACTTGAGACACAATCCTAAACATAGCTGGAGAGAGGAAATCTTAATTGAGAAAAGGTCTCCATAAAACTGACCTGTAGGCAAGTCTGTAGGGTATGACTTGACTAACGTTTGGTATGAGAGAGCTCAGCTCACTGTGGGTGGTAGCACTCCTAGGCAGGTGGTCCTGGATGCTCTAAGAAGCATACTGAGGAAGCCATGAGGAACAAACCAGTAAGCAGCACTCCTCCTCAGCTTCTGTTGCAGTGCCTGCTTCCAGGATCCTGCACCGAGTTTCTCTCCTTACTTTCCTTAGTGATGGAGTGTAACTTGAGAGTAAAAGTTGTAATAAGTCCTTTCCTTTCCAGGTTGCTTTGGGTAATGTGCAAACATCACAGCAATAGAAACCCTAACTAAGACATGTAGCACAGGCCTCTTTGACAATGGTTGCCACATGGAAAAGGTATGCCCAGAAGAATATTTAAGTGGGCTCGAACTATAACCATCTAGAGAGACAGTCTACACTACAGATGCAACTCCAAACACACATTCTACAATGGTCACTCTTCATAACCCTGTTCCACCCACCACTGTAGCTTTCTAAATCACTCTCTAGAAATCCCCTGGAGGTCAAGAAAGAGGAACTTTGACCACCCTTAAATTAAAGATAGTTATTTATAAAAATGTGGATTTCCTGAGTCATTAATGTGATATCTAAATAGGAGGCAACAGGACTTGGTCCAGGAATTCAGTCTCGGACCTCAATACAATCACGCCTTAGTCATGAAAAGGTAATGGACTCTGTGGGGTCTCGCCATCTCTGCAGTTTGTCATCACGCCTGAATTCTGAGATGCAGCTAAATCAATCCCCTTTCCATCCTTCAGACTATAGAATCCCCTTCTCACCAATATTCTGAAGAAGAAAGCATATTCCTTCAATCCCCGCTTCTCACTCAGAAACCCAGTTACACAGTTCCGGGTCTTTCACAAAGTCATATCAAGTTTTGAGAGAAAAACTGTCACCAAATCTCAGTTTACTTATATGTCAAAAATAAAATACTAGATATGAAAGTGATCATCCTAGAATTTTAATTGTGTGGATTATTACTCAGTTTGCCAGTATCAAGGATGCTTGGCTCTGTTGCTTAAATGTTCCCTGCAGGAGAAAATGAAGAGGCCAACTTGAAATTGCATTCTTTTCTCATGACTATTTAGCACAACAGGAGAAAACAGAACATGGCCGCTAATTGTGTTTTCTTAAATGAACAAGTACCAGAGATTCTTATACAGTTGGTGTTTAAATGAATTAACTTAATATATGTGTACTTAAACAAATCTTTATTAATTTGGAAACTTCAAATGCATTTCCACAATTCACAACTTGTACATAGGTAGACCACGACTACTTCCTCTCATTGTTTTGGGAAAAAGCTTCAAGTCGAAGTGAGATCTTTGATGTTTGGATGACAGAGTTGAAAACCTAATCAGGGAATATTATTTGAGGTGCAATTCAAGAAACAGTACTAGTTTCTGGTCACATCAGGAAAAATACTTTCCTAGTACAATTCTCTACTATCTTAATGGTGATCTAATTATTGTAAATAACCCTCACTCAACAGTGATTGGGTCACATGAGTAGCTCAAAGCCTTATTATGAAATCTATGATAACAATGCATTTAGCCAAAAACATGTGATGGTGGGCGAAGACAAACCATTTGTCCAAACTCGGTGTTTATCATCACACATGTCCAGAGTTCCCACCCATTTGATGGTTGGTGCTTAATGCTGATAAATGACCTTACTTATATGTCAGACAAATCAACCTTGTCGTTTTCTGGGATTAACGTGCATAGAGCCCTCCCCCCTTTTTATGCCCTACCTAATCTTCCATTCTGTTTCTCTTTTTTCCATTAATTATTTATTCATTCACTTTATATCCAGATTGCAGGACCTCTACCAGAACGCCTCTCACGCAGTCCCTTCCCCATCACCCCTCTCCTTTAACTCTGAGATGGGGGAAGCTCCCTGCCACTGGGTACCAACCACCTTGGCACCTCACGTCACTGCAGGACTAGGCATATCCTCTCCTACAGACAAGGCCACCCATTCTGTTTTAAACATAGGAAACTAGAAAGACAGAATTACATGGATTCACTGCAATTTCTTCTTCTAAACAGAACTATATGATTGTCCTCATGTGCACATGTGCACACTCATGAGAATGGGTCAGCTTTCATCCCTGGTTTTTAACTCTTTGGCTTCATGTTATAATTGATCTGCCTCCACAATCGGCAGGATGGTTTTATAGTCAGAAATAAACTGGTTCTCAGCTGAGAGTATTCCTCATCTTCCATAACAGATTCTCGAGGACTGAAAAATGTGTTTAGCCTTATAAAATGTTACATTAATTATTCCCTATAAATAACAGTTAATTCCTTTTCAGACTGAAGGAACGACATGGCATTCTGTTCACACTGCTGTTAGCCCAAGCCTGACTGCAAGGCAGGCTCACAAGGCAGGATGGCTGCTGTGTGCTTAACCAGATTGTGCCACACTCTTAACTCAGCTGCTCTGCAACTGCCATACGCTCCACATATGGGTGCACACAATTTACGATAATTGCATGTTTTTAAGAGGGAGCTTTTAAAGATAATGAGAAAAGCATGTGAGAAAACAGGTTAAAATACATCTTGGTAGTTACCGGTTTTTGACCTTTTAATATAACTTGACGTTACTCAAAAGTAACAAGTGTAAGAATAGATGTATTTTCATAAATCAGAATAATGTTACAATTAGTGGGAATAAATTTTTAAGTTCTGTAACTTTAAGTATGAAACTTGAAGAAAATGCTACTGAAGTTAAAATATTTTTCGTGACCTAATTTTCATCCTTTCTCTTCTGCATAAATTTGATGATTTATATTCAGAGCGAGGTTACTATTTCCTTTTCCTGCCCTATGTTATTGTATAATTTCAATACAATTCCAGCTGATTAACAGAAGGTGCCCTATCAGACCATGACCTTGTATGATGTGAGAAAAAATGAAATTTTAATTTGATTGACATTTTCTACTTTTTTAACATTTAGTTTTGCTTAAGGAATAAAAGATGATATACAATTTGAATTCTTACATCAGGCACAGTTCAAAAGATTGTTATAGGGTTGTTTTATTTACTATATTCAAGAATCATGATTGTAAATTTGATGGATTTTTATAGTGAATGTGCACAGTATTAGAGACCTTAAAGAAATATCCAGTTACGGTTAGCACATGGCCAAAAAGCATACTATGTGGACTCCCTCAAATGCACACAGATATTATAATAGAATGAGAAATGATGTGTATAGGGGGAGGACTGGGCCTGAGTGTGTGTGTGTGTGTCTGTCTGTCTGTCTGTCTGTCTGCGTATTGCTTTAATATATGTTTGTATGTGTTAGTGTGTATGCTTGTATTTGTATATATGTGGAGTATTTGTATGCATTCCTGTATACATGTATATGTGTGTGTGTGTATTTGTGCTTGTGTATAGTGTGTGTTTGTGTAGATATGCATGTTTTTGTGCGTATCAGCAAATTCCTCACTGTCTTGCAGCAAATTAATAGGTCAGCATGAGACACCCTTGAAAGGTACAGAAAAAAAAAAGAGAGAGAGAAACAGTACAATGACTAGGAACAGAAAAGCTGTTCTCAGTGAAGAACAATTTCCACTAAAGGAGACAGGCACTGGGCGCTTCAGTTAAAAATATACTTACAGAATGTTTGAAGACTTAGAGAAAACACGTGAGACACAGGGACCGAGAAGCCATATCTGCCCTTTGTGTATCATTTAATAATCCTTTAAAGGGTGTTACTTTTAGAGTTCAGAACAGGAAGTTAACAATGTTCAGTGACTCAGCTATGTTTTCTGATAGGAAGAAAGTGGAAAGGGAGAATTAAACTCTAGTTCTAAGGTGCGCCTGCACCAAGGTTACTTGTTGGATGCATCATAC